GCTCCTGGCTTCGGATCGGCATAGCATCGGCCGTTGCGGCTCACTTGGGGAGTGAATCATCGGACGGAAGATCTTCCTCTCTGTCTCTCCTCTCTGTATATCCGCCTTTCCAATAAAAAAAAAATAAAATAAATCTTAAAAAAAAAAAAAAGTTTCACATCACACGTCTTGTGATCCAACAATCTCTCCAAAGAGAAATTTAGACCCATAGGTATCAGAAGACAAATCTGTTCCTGATAGTACTATAACAGCCAAAAACTGGAAACTTAAAAAGGCCCATCAAAAGAGGAAAAGCTAAAGTATGGGAGAGTCATGCCATGGAACCTTAGACAAGTTTGGAAAAGAACAAATATCATCAGTAACATTGGTGTTTACAAATTCCAGGTTGTATAAAACAGTAAGTTTCAGAGTTTTCCATGCAGCTTAAAAATAAATAAAACAGTACATTATTTTAGTCATGAACATATGTGATACAATGTTTTTAAAAGCAAAATATAAACAGGATTCAGGTTGTGGTTACCTCAGTTGAAGGAATGATATGGACAGAAGTGTACAGGTGACATGTAAGCTACTGTTTCTGTTTCATTCCTGTGGTTGAACAGTAAGTTTATAGGTGTGCATAATGTCAACAAATAAAATAAAACTGGGCCACAAGTGTGCAGTACGTTATGCCAGAGACTGTAATTAATATATTGTTGTGACCCAAAGATTTGTTAAGAAACCAGCAAACACAATAAATGTAAATGGACTAAAACTGCTAGTTACCAGAACAAATGAACCAGAGTCGGCTATATGCTGTCCACAAGCCACCTCGCTGAAATATAAGGGCATAGAGAAGTTACAGGATGGAAAAAGATACACATGGCAAGGGATAACAATACAAGCAGTTATTTTAACTTCAGCACAGCAGACTTTTAAGCATTAGCGGTAATGAGCACCTGTACCAACATTAAAGGCAAAATTCACAATGAAAACAGTACATCGAAGCTTGTATGTTCCAACAACATATTCTCAACACACACAAAGCGTAAGTGCAAAAATGAAAATAAACAAAATGTACAATTATCTTGGGAGATTTTAACAGTTCTTTGGGAAGTACTTGATAACTTTTAAAAACATATATATATATATATATATATATATATATAAAGAGAGAGAGAGAGAGAAAATTTGATTTACAAGGAGAAACTAGAAATTCCAGCCATGTAGAAATTTTCATGTACCTCTATAAAAAGTGATTGATCAAGCTGACAAAATATTAGGCAAGCTATAGAAAATCAAGCTGATACAGTTACCATGCTTACTTAGCAGACACATACAGAATGCTACTCTTAATGATTAAAGCACATGAGTTCTTTTCAAACTTACAAACACCGACCTTGGACCAAAGCAAGTTTCAGGCGTAGGCATTTGTTTAGCGCAGTTTAGGATTTAAGTAATTCCACATCCAAGTGTCTGGGTGTGATTCATGACTCCAGCTTCCTGCCAGTGCACACTGTGGGACACAGTGATAACAGCTCCTATGAGTGGGAGACCTGGATAGCATTTCCCACCTCTCCATCTTGGCTCGGACCAGCCCATGCTGCTGCAGGCATCTGGGGGTGGCCAAGCAGATGGGACCTCTCAATATTTCTGTCTCCCTGCTTCTCAAAAACAAAAACAAAACCCAGATCTGTGGCACAACAGACCTAGAAAAGGATAAAGCCAGATAGGTATCGACACCCTGACACTACAGACAGGTCCAAGCAGAGATCAACATACTTAAATCTATGAGTAAGCAGCATTTTGTCAATACGTTTGGAAACCTAGGTAGTTCGGACAAACTCTTTGAAGAATAATAAAGTGTATAAAAATGTTTTCAAGAATAAAATAAAAAAACATGAGATTTCTAACCATTAAGGAAATGGAAATAAATAGTTAAAAATCAACCACCATAAATTTGAAAGAAAAAGAAAGGTGAAATCCACAGAACCTCATGTCCTCACGAGGGGGCCAGGGAGAGAGTTCAGTGTTGTGGTCTGCAGGGAGCCCCAGTTCACTCAGTGATAAATGGGGTTATAAAACAGGGGAACGAGGCTGGGGGTGTTTTGCCACTTGTTGAGTTTGAATCTCAGTAAGCTGGTTCAGTGGAGGGGGTGAGTGAAAAACTGACCACAGCTTAGAGCGAGCTCTTGGGGAAGGTGAGAAGCAGGAGCTCTTTCTGTGCAGTTCGGCAGCATCTCCCCTGCACAGAGGCTGTCCAGGGAGGGAGTGTGGCTGGAGGAGAAGTGAGGGCTGCAGATCAACACAAGGACTGAAAGGAGCGGGAGTCAGGACAAAGAGATGGAGAAGGGCAGGCGGGAGGGAGGGCAGGTTTCTGGAGTTTCCAGAAGGTAGTACCCAACAACAAGGACGTCGTGAGATGTGGACACTGCGAGCGGGTTAGAGACTGACACTGCCCCACTGGAATTCTCTCCTGAATCAGGGGCTATGGGAAGTGAGCAAGCTGGAGGAGAAATACAAAATCCCCATCACCATCTATTACAAAGAATGAAGTGCCAAGTGGCAGTGTGGGTGACAATGGACTGCTCTGCATCTTGATGCACTGGTTGCATGAATTTGCAATTTGTCAAAACTCACAGAATTCCCGAGCAGAAGAGAAAATGTCCCGCATTTAAATTAAATACCCCAACGCAGTGGAGACACAGAGCCAGAAGAGCCCTTCCTTCTTTATCCACCAACTTGGTCACTGCCCTTTCTGCCCTCCTGGGAGGTCCAATTTGGCTCATGTTGTCAGCTTGTGTAGTTCTGTGCCTCGGAACCAGAACACATCTCCCCTGTTGAGGCAGTGGCATCGGCTCCGGGTCAGAACCGCCCTTAGGAGGTGGCTGGTAAGTATGGGGAACGTCTCTCATCATTGAGGTCCTTGTGGGGTAAAACAAGGAATTGTAATAGGAAAGGCCTTTGCAACCTGGGACGGTCTGGGGCTCTATTGTAAAAAGTCCTGAATGCGATCCAATTAGCTCTGTTGTTGGCATTTTGTTTTTGAGAATAAATAATCATAATAAACCATCATCTGGCTTTTCCCACATGATTTGGGAAACAGCTTGAAGTGGCAGGAAACACTCAGGTTTGTGGTTTAAAGCCTCGTAGCAGCTTCCAAACATCATAGTAAGCAATGGTTGAGGATAAAGACGACACACATAGGTTTGCAATGAAAAAGGGACATTGACAGTATTTGTTTATTTCAGCCCTTTATTCCCATCCCCTCTGTCATGTCAGGGAGTAATTATTCCAATTCTGGGGACAGCGAGGTTTAAGTCTGGTCACCTAAGGCTTTGGGGTGCAGAGTTTCCAAGCATTCTGCTTTGTCAAGACTCGCAGTGGATCTGTTGCAGTTTGGTGTTGAGTGTTTTGTATTGTCTCCTAATCCAATGAAAATTAATGGAAAAGTGTTAATTGAGTATCAATTCATGCTTAACATTAATCTGAGCATTTGATGAACCACAACTTTATGTTGCCCCCTCATGCCATATTAACTCAGTGTACTGTAATGACCTAAAACAATAAGGAAAATTACATCCGTATTGTTTTCAATACCCCATAAATTGGATCCAGCCTGAAGCTGGCCAGCTTGGAGTCCGCAATGCCTTAGGGAAGCTACAAACGTGGTCTTTTTTGGAGTTTTCCGTGTGCAGAGGCGGGTGAAAGCAGCCGTTATTAAGCGCCTCCTGTGTGCCTGGACTTATGCTGCCCCAGCACGCTGCTTTCCAGGTGGCAGGGTGAGTTTGCAGCCACTTTTACAGCCACCTCCTCGGGTCATGAGGGGGTCTCGGGTTGTTGCAGTCTCTTGCATTTTATTATCTCCGCACAGGCAAGCTGGGTAACTTGAGAAATCATCAACTATACGGCGGGCGGGCTGGAGTGCGGTTTCTTGCAAAAAGAAAAACAAAACAAAACAAGAACAGGGGGAAAAAATAACCCACAACCCTTCTCTGCCACCCTGCAGACGCTCCCAAGCTGGTTCTCACCATGGGCAACGTGCTTGCTTTTCGAGTCCACTCGTTTGACCTTGACCCCCTGCAAACCTGTTTCTTTATATTTTAAAACGTTATCCCTACGCACACAGAAACCCTTTCTCCGGCACTTTCCAGCTGGAACCCCGTCGATTTCTCAAAGTTGGAAAATAACCTTTTCCCGGGCACGGATTCGTACCTCTGCCGGGGCAGGGCGGGGAGCGGCGCGATCCGTGCCGCCGGTGTGCAGCGAGAGCCGGGGAGAACTTCCAGCGCCGAGAGGGGAATAAAACTAGCGGCTGCTGTGTGTGCGCCAGGGTCTCCGCCGTCCTCGAGCCTCGGAGCTTGGGGGGCGTCCTGGCCGCCCCGAGCGCCGCCGGGGTGTGGGTGTGCTCCCGACGTCCTTGACCTAAATTTCTGCGCGGTGTGGCTGCAAACGGCAGCGAGGGCGGCCGGAGCCATCCCTGGATCCTGGCGGCGGCCGGAGGCGGCGAACTTGAATGGAGAGGCCAAACTCGGGGTGGGGGTGAGGGGGCCAACGGGGGGCGTCCTCTCCCCGGGCCGGGTGCGGAGCCGCGACCGGCGGGCCCGCGCCGCCCCCCTCCTCCCAGCCACCCGCCCCTCCAGCGGCCCATGTGATCCGGCCGGGGAGGGAGGGTCAGGGGGCGCTCCCCGCCGTCCCGCGCCCCGCCGACCGGGAGGCGGGTCCGCACCCCCTCCCCGCCCCTCGCGCCGCCGGGCTCGCGCGCCGTCCCCAGGGTCCAGCCGCGGGGGGCTGAGTGTGTGTGCGTGTGTGTGTGTGAGTGTGTGCGCGCGCGGGCGGGCGGGGGCAGCGCCGGGGTGCGTGACGTCACCGGCATGGGTTACACGACGTTCTAGAACTCCGCCCCACGTGCGCGGGGAGGAGGGGGAGGCGGAGGAGGAGATGGGGGTGGGGAGGAGGAGGAGGAGGGGGGGAGAGGTGGGGATGGGCCGGGGCGGGCGGGGGGGGCGGGGACGGGGGGTGTGCGAGGCGGCGGGGCTGAGCTAAGCCGAGCCCACGTGTGACGGCTCTCGCCGCTGCCCCGGCTCCGCGGCTCGCAGAGCGATTCGGAGGAGCCCGGGCGGGGGGGAGGAGGAGGGGGAGGAGGGAGCGGAGATCTCGGGGCTCGGAGCCGGCCGCCGCTCCGCTCCGATCGCTGTGGGGCTCGGCTCTTTCGGGGGTGGGGGGGCGGGGGGGCTCCGCTATGGAGGCAAATGGGAGCCAAGGCACCTCGGGCAGCGCCAACGACTCCCAGCACGACCCCGGGTAAGTTTCCAGCCGCTGCCCACCGCGCCGCCGCGGGCTCGCTCTCCTTTGCAGCGGCGGGGACGGCGGTGCGCGGAGCCCGGCATCGCCCGCGCCCCCCGGCCCCCCGCGCACCCCACCCCCACCCCGGGGAAGTTGCACACCTTTGGGTCGCGTTTCGCCGCCACCTTCTTCCCCCACCCCACCTCCCGGCTCGCGCTCGCCCGCTTCCCCCCGCTTTCCTTTTAGCTTTTGTAAGTTACACGTCAAAATGGCCGATCTGACATCGGTGTTCACTTCTGTTATGTTTTCTCCCTCTAGTAAAATGTTTATCGGCGGACTGAGCTGGCAGACCTCACCAGGTAAGGGAGGGAGGGGGGGACTCCTGGGTCCCCCCCTTCTTGGCTTCTTTATTGCTCTTTGTTATCCCGGTGTCGGAGCCCCCCCCCCCCCACCGGCCATTGGCTTCCCCACTTCTCCTGTGCAAGGTTATTTTTTTAAATAGCAAATCCTTTCCGAGCCCTCTACGCGACCTCTGTGGCCGAATTTCCCCCGCGTGTGCAAAAAATGCAAAAAAACAAAACAGAATAACAAGCGAAAACTACTTTTGGTTTTTGTCCTTGATCAACATTTGCATTGCTTTTTTTTCCACACCTTCTCTCCCCCCCCCCATCTCTCTCTTTCTCTCTCTACAGATAGCCTTAGAGACTATTTTAGCAAATTTGGAGAAATTAGAGAATGTATGGTCATGAGAGATCCCACTACGAAACGCTCCAGGTAAACCCTTCCCTTCTGGATTTTGGCTTTATTTGAGAACAAAGTTTGAGCTTTATTTTTGGAGGTGACTTGGGAAGTAGCTGGAGCGGATGGAGAGCGGGGCTCCCGCGCGAGGTTTTGTCTGCGCCGGCGCCCCTCCACCCGCCTAACCTCCAGGGTTATTGTTAATTGGGGGCCGAACTCCGGGTGCTGACTGAGACCGCATCTCTCCGGCTTTCAGTCATTTCTCCCGTCGCCGCCTTTTCTGCTCTTTTAATGTGACATTTCAGCGTCATTCACTTTCCCTATAGTTTTTTTTTTTTTAAACATGAATGATCCCGCCACACTCCTAGCTCCCCAAACTCTTAAGCGCCCCCGCCTCCCTCTCCCCCTTAGAAAGGTGAGTGAATCTCTTCGGAGTGCCGGGCTTTCTTCGGAAATAAAACAAAGCGTGAGGAAAGCGCCGGTGGGGAGGAGGAGGAGGAGGAGGAGAAACTGAGGCGGCTCGCCCGGGGAGGCAGCGGCGTTTCCCAAGTTACCTCCGCGGCCTGCAGCCGGCTCCCCGCGCCCTGGTGTCCCCGGGGGCGGCGGGGAGGGTCGGGAGCGGCGCGTGGGGCCACCCGGGCCGGCCGCGCGCCGCGCTGAGGTAAACGCGCGCCTTGTGGCTGTGGCGCGGCGTCCCCCTTTCTGACTTGTTTTCCTCTCCCTTTGTCTCCTTCCAGAGGCTTCGGCTTCGTCACGTTCGCAGACCCGGCCAGCGTAGATAAAGTGTTAGGTCAGCCCCACCATGAGTTAGATTCCAAGACGGTAGGTGGCTTCTCCGTGCTTGTCCTACGCCCCTTTTCAGGAACGAGCTGGGCGCTGACAGCCCGATTTAAAGGGACAGCGCCTGCCGGTGCTTTTGGGGGGGGACAAGAGCCTGATACTTTTTCACAGGGCAGGCGACTGGGCTCCAAACTTGTGACCGTGTGTGTGTGTGTGGGGGGGGGTTCTTTTTTTTTCTTCTTACCCCCTTCGCCTTTTCCACCTGGGCCCGTTGCGGCTTCGAGGCCGTCCTGTGGAGGCTGGGCCGAGGCCCTGCTCCTGACACCGGGACCACGCCGAGAAACTCCGCCTGCAAGCCCGTGCAACTTTTCTTTGTCAGCGGAGCCGGTTGCTTCGCTCGAAGGCTCCGTGGCTGCGGCGCCGGTGCCCGAGGGAAGGGGTGGTCGCCAGGGGAGAGGGCGTTTGCTCGCCAGGGGTCCTGGCAACAGGTTCCTCTGGGGACCCTGGGGACTTGGAAAGTGGCTTGAGAAGCGCCGTAGACGCTGGCAGGGCCCAGCTGGGCATCCAGTGCCCTGAATCCAGATGGAGTGAAATCTAAGGCTGTTAAGGCCTTGGCTTTCAAAGTGATTTTTTTCTTTTTTCTTTTCTTTTTTTTTTTTTTTTCTTCTCAGATCCGTTCATTTGAGTGTGGGTATTTGTATAGCATTGGAAGTTTTTCAGAATCCACAGTTGTGTGTGTTGGGGAGAGTCTCTAGGTGGAGGTCAGAAGTGGTTAGAGGAAAGAGTGTGTTAGTAATAAATTTAAGTAATAAATTTAAGGTTGCATTTGAGTCTACCAGGATTTCCACCACAGTGTGTATATACAGAATCTGCCTAAAAACAAACAAACAAACAAACAAACCAAAAAACCCAGGGGCCTTGAGTGAAATGTGGGGACGCAGGGCTGGGCTGCTCTGGGCTTGGCCAATAAAGCCAGAGTTGGGAGGGGGTGTCCCAGGTCTGGCTGTACCTTCTTGGGCAAGTTGTTCTCTGCCCTCCGGGCCTCAGTTTCCTCATCTATAAAACAAGCACAACCAGGCGATCTTCCAGATGCCTGCTGGCTGTAACTTTGAATGACAGAACAGGCACCCCTCAGTGCACACTGGAATCAGTGTTGCAAACTGGCCCTCCTTCTCTAACCAGGGGGGTCAGGTGTGTGCCCTCTGCCCCCAGGAGACCTCACACCCTTAAGTTGGTTTATAAATTGTACGGAATGTATTGTAGCTTGTGGCGCTTTTTGCATTTTCAAATAATTTCATGAATAATTGCATTTGTAGAGTGATAACGGATTGCTTGGCTGGATGTTGCGAGAAGCTGGCCATATTATAATGAGGAGCGCTGTTCTAAGGCAGGCTCAGGAATCCGGTGTCCATCCCCTGTGGGCTGCTGAGAACCCGGATTTTGTGTGCATGCCCGTGCTGGCTGGGAAGCTGTATTCCTCTGTGTTGGGAGGCCCTGCGTAACTGTGTGTAGTGGGTGGTGGTCTCTCTTCTTTAGAGTAACCTAGCTTTTGACTTTGTTTCAACGTTCAGTGCAGGAGGCAGAAGCGGTTGGTTTATTGACATGGAAACGAGGATCTTGTTTACCTTTACCTTAAAAGCTTTGTTTAGGTAACGGCCATTCACGTCCAAATTAGTACTCTAGTCTTTTCCTAGAGGACTTGTAGATACAGTAAGTAGAGCTGTTCCTAACTAACTTGTGTTTTACTTTTTGGTAGTTTCCCTTTTTTCCTTTCTGTTTACAAAAATAGTTGACAGGGATGTGCAAAAGGTGGGGATTTACCATGCTCACCTGGACCGCTCCGCTCCCTGAGAGAGCTGGGCGTGCACTTGGGGTGCACCAGGAACCCTGATCTTAAGGTCACTCAGCGATTGGCTGTCAGTTTTGTCATTTTGGATTTTTTGGGGGTCGTGCTTTGCTTTCCTCACAGCACCTGGCACCCTCCAGCCCTTGGCCCCCCACCTCCCCCGGTCTTAACCTGCTCTGCACCTTTTACCCCACAGCCAAGGTGACTCACTGCAATTGTGTACTGGTGGGCTAAAACATCCGTTAGGGGAGCGTGGAAGCAAAGACACATCTGTCTTACCTGGGGGGCCAGAATGGGAAATCCACACCTGTTGTATTTCCCTTGTAGACATGCTGTCCTCAGTGCTGGGCACACCTGTAGATGCAGTCTTGTTAATCTCTATGAAAGGGTAGTTTGCTAGATCAGAGATCTTTTTTTTTGTCTGTTTTAGTTTCTGAAAAGTAATCGCTCATTTCTCAGGTCATGCTAGGAAGTAGAAGACACGATGTGGTCTTTAAACTTGGTACTGCTTTGGGTCTAGGGAGTCCAGGAGAACAGGTGAACTCTGTACGTCCCACCCCCCTGCTTTCTCCAGAGCATTAATTATTCTTTGTGTGTCTGCTGTGACAAAAGTGAAAACAAGACACTGACTTTTTTTTAAAAGAGAAAATTTTGTTATGAAAACTAAAGCCTGTAAATAAATAAGTTGTAGCAATATTCATGCCACTCACTATGTGGAATTTTCCCCGGAGATTTCTGAGTTAGAAGGCAAAGGAAAACCAGCAATGAACTTAAAAAAATTCATTCCCTTTTTGTCTATCCAATAGCTTTTTCCACCGCCAGAACAATCGCTTAGATGCAAGTGTCCTGTGGGAATCACTTTTGCGTTGTAGTGCAGTCCCTTATTGAGAGTGACGCACTCGGCCTGTGTTTGCTTGGGAGTGAAGATGTTTTTTTATGTGGAATGAGGTTGGGGTAGGGAAATACCCTCCTTGTTGCGCTAGATTCTGACTTCTTTTGTGTGTGCGTGTGTGTGTTTTTAATTCTTGTAATAGCCTTTCTAATTTGGGTTTAGGTTGCTTGTGAATTTTTTTTTTTTAGCGCCTGTGATTAAAAAAAAAAATCCAGGTGGGTTTTAGAGAGCCCATCAGATTACATGGTTTTCTGACACTTTCTTTTGAGATGTAACTATAGCACAAATTATATTTTTGAATATTCCTAGATAACTTTATATTCACAAAAATGAGTTAATTCAAACTGAGCATGATATTGGCTGGTTAGGGACAGTTTTTAGATGTTGATTTTCAGCATTTTTGTAATTCCCTATGTTGTTATCACCTGAGAGAAGAAAGACTGGCCAATATCCTACTGCTAAAGAAACTTACATTTGGTTTTCACATTATGGTTTTTTCCTCCAGTGCGAATGATGCTCCTGTCTTCTCTCAGGCACCACTTCGTTCTCAGTGTTTGTAGATGATAAACCCTTCCCTAAATAGGAATGCATGATACCTGCTCTGGATTTTTGAGAGCATTGTACTCTGGAATGCATGGTGTAGGGCATTTCAGAAAACCTCATGAGGCAATCTAGGAAGGATGGCCAAAGTTGCAGTCAGTTTTGGGGGAACTTTTTAATTGTCTAGGAAGTTGCTAAAAGCTGGGTTATGAGCCTGAGAAATGAGTGATTAACAATTAGGTGATTAATCATGTCTTTTCTCCTCTCCTCAAAGTGCTTCATCGATTCTGACTTTTTCGTTCTTCTTTCCCCTAGATTGACCCCAAAGTTGCATTTCCTCGTCGAGCTCAACCCAAGGTAAGTAGAAGAATCAGTGGTAGGATTGTAATGTTCAGAGATGGTCACAAAGACTTTAAGTCATAAACAGCCTTGGCAGTGAACTGTTGAATCCTGGGGTCCACCGTTGCTTCAGAGCGTCAGCCTGTGGCAGTGAAAGTCCTCCAGGAAAGGCCCTTGTGAGATAGACACGGGTACCCACTGCAGCCATGCCAAGCTTGGTCCTGAGTGTCCAGCTGGGGACTGGGGACAGGTTTGACCATGGCAGGAGAACATGGCTCCAGATGTTGTAGGAGTTATGTGGATGTTCTATTTATGCTTTCAGCAAAGGTGAAACATTTCCTTCTTATGCTTTTTGTCATGGGTCCTCTTAAGGTCTGACACCTTAAGGATTTGGGGCAAGGAGCAGCATTTTAGACCATAGCTTGTCCCTTCTAGAAAACTCAGTTCCATAGATCCAGAGAGCTCTACATCTGAGAGCAGAAGGTCTTGGTTTCAGGTTGGTTTGATAAATCAGGGCACACTGGAAACCAGCAGGGTCGATTACTTGTACAAGAGGTGGCGCCTGGGTAGAGAGGTTCAGACAATGTTGTGACCTTGTGGAGTGGGCCTTCATGTCTTGATTAAAGGTTTGAGATAGGGCCGCGCTTGGGAAAAAGTATGCGATTAACGTTTGTGCTGAGCTCGCCAGGTGTGGCCATGCGACCACAGCTGCATGAAGCCCAAGGCCACACTTGAAGAGCTACAGCTTGTGTGTTTGTCTTGCCCGTTTGAGTTATCTTTTTCTTCCCTGTATAGCATCGGAAGGAACAGCTTTTCTGCCTTTGTGGCCTTGCATTCTTCTGGAAAGGGGGAAAGTTGAAGCCTCTCACAGAAGGTCATCAAGGGAGAGGGCTGCTGTGGCTTTTGCAGATTTAATTTCTTTCAGCGTGATCACTCCAAAGTGGGACCTCTTAATTGTATAAAAGAAGGCATGGCTTTGTGTGCTAGTAAAGACTAAGTTCACTGTTGCGGATGCGATGTTGAGAATTTCAGGTCTGGAGCCTGCCGTGTGATGGATCCATTCCCCTCCACCCCTTTCATTAGTATAATGAAATATTTTCTTAAGGCATTTCCCCTGAATGCTTAAGCAAATGATAAGAGTTCATGGACCTTTGCGGTTCCCTGTTCTTTGCTTGGACACACTTGGGATGGACTTTCCTCTTGCAGTTGCCTTCTACACTCCACATTGCAAAAGGTTTCGCAAAATTAGCAGAATTTCCTCCTGACTTTGGAGGAATTGCTGTTTCTTCCATAAGTGTGAACTCCAAATTTCCAGGTTAGTCATCTGATCACTCAGAGCTGGGATCAGATTACCCTCAAGGGGAACTGGAAAAATGCTTGACTTGGTCAATCTGTGGGTCTGACCTGTGTTCCCTTCCCCCAAGTGGTTAGGGTTTTTTTTTCCCCCTTTTTCTTTTTTTAGGTAGGATGGCAATATTTCACTTTAATATGCTGGACTGTTTGGTTTTTCAGTGATGCATTCAACTTGAAAACAGGACAGAATATTTCTCAGATTTGTCAGAGTGTACACCCATCCTCCCAGCCCGTGTCCGGGATGGGTGTAGGTGAACTGTCATTTTTTTTAGATGTGAGTTAATGTCACACCAGGTGGGGGAGGACATTTTCCTGTGGAGGCCTGGGATTTAATAATATTATCCTGTGTTTTATGACACGCCGCTTTGCAAAGGACTGTGCTGTTTATGATCAGCCTCTGAATCGCAGCTGCTTCCGCTGGTGACTGCCGTCCCTACATTCGTCATTGCCTGGCCTTTCAGCCTCAGTTTCTTGTTCTGTAAGATGGGAGCAATGACATAGTCTGTCTGAGACTTTTTGTTGTTGCTTTTTATTTTGTCATTTTGTCTGAAACTTTCATGAAGCGTAAAACTGTGCGGAATTTTGTAAGGGCTTTGAGACTCATCACATCCTTGTTGTTTGACTCATTGTTCACAAGTTTTTTTGTTAGGTGATTTTGGGCAGATTCTTTCAAGTTCCCTGAGCCTCAGTTTCCCCATCTCATAGAATTTTTGTGCAAATGAAATAACATTGAGAAGGAACAGTGCTTTAAAAAATAGAAAGGATGAGGTACACAACACTAACATTTAAATGTAACTTGTTTTCGCTACTGTTTTTCTCAGGCCATTACAGCAGTCCTGTGAGAGGCCGAGTATAGAAAGGAGATGAATTTATGTGCTCTGCCCTCTTATAGGGGCTTGATGTGTTTTGGTTCATTTGTGTAAGTTAGAGTTATCTCCACTTGACAGAGAAGCAGGCTGAGGTACAGGTGAATCGAGAAGTGGTGCAGGAGACGCACCAGGCAGCTGAGCTCCAGAACTGCATCTTTTACTTATGTGTCATTCTGGAGGGTTTGGGGGACACCTCAGGGTACTGTACCCCACCATACCACTGGGGGAAGGAAGGGGTCAGTAGGTTGTGAGAGGCAAAGCTACCCCCAGAATCTTAGGGAATTGAACTCCTGTGTTTTTGGGCCTGGGGTACTTGCCTCCCTGCTGTGATATTATCCCATTGAGAGATGGGATGCCTAGTTCTGCCTCTCAGGACACGTGTGCTTATGGTTCAGGGCTTGCTGCACCCTAGGGAGGCAGTTTGATAGCTGTTGAGCTGTGTGGTGTGGTCATGGGAACAGGGTGAGAGAAGGTGTCTTCTTCCCCATCTGTGGTCCCTTCTTACGAAATTGGGGGACTGGTCGCCAGGGCATCAGAGGGAAGCTGTAAGTTAATAGGAAAGAAAACCCGTGGCAGCATAGAACACACTCTGGGTGAGTATGATCAGAAAAGTCTCTAATATATCACATAAATAAAGCTATTTTGAACAGAATTTTAATGATTAGCCAGGGAAAGGCTAATCTGCTTCTGATACATGCGTTCACATCTTGGATGAAGCATAACAGGTCTGTGTGAACTGGTCCGGGGACGAGTGCGGACCAGTGCACATTAATTAGTGAAGCTCATTTTGATCAGAGATGAAGATAGGTCCATCCTGGATCTTCCTATTTCTCCAGATGATTTTTTCATTTTGTAAAATAATGTACGAGTTCCCCCTACCCTGGCCCGGTTATGTTTTATAAAATTAAAGTAGTCACGCTGCTCTAAAAAGCTGGCTCAATGCGAAGCCATCGGAGAAGGGAGGGTGATGAGGAAGGATCACGCCATATCTTTTTTTTGTTCCTTTTGGGCAGATTTGTTAACTGCCTGCCGGAGTTTTTCTTGAGTTTGTAGGTTCTTGTGTGGATGAACCAAGAGACTTGGTCAGATCTTTGTGCAAAAATGGAGTCTAGATGAAACTTAGTGTCTGTCTCAATTATCCTTGAACTTGAAAAACATTCCCCACCCTTCCAAGTTGCCGTTTTCCTCCCTAAGTTTTTTGTTTTTTTTTTAATATTGCCTGTGCTGTTGAGTGGGCCCCTGACTAGGATGTTCAGGCACAGAGGAAGGTGGGTGGGACAATTGTTTCAATTGTTTTTTTCTTCAGTGTCCACAGGAGAAGGTGATCACATGCCGAGGTGATCACCCCTTGCTGTCAAACTCTGTCAGCCCCCGGGGGAGGGGGATGATCATTTGCTGATTCCTCAGAGACCTGATGTTGCCTCCCCATGTTCTGAAGCTCAGAGCATCAGCTTTTGACCCGGAGAGATCTCATTTCTACAATCTATTTCCAAGTTGCCTCCTTTGCAGCGGAGCAACCATGGGGTGATCACTGAAATTTCTCCAAACCCCCTTTTTCCCCTTTCTGAAAGAGGGAGGGAAAAGACCAGGTGTTTGGTTCAGTGGTTAGAATGCCAGATAGGATGCCCACATTATGCAGGGGGGATTTGAGTTCTGTGCCTCTGCTCTCGACAGCTTTCAGCTAGTGCTTACCCTAGCAGGCAGCCGGTGATGACTCAAGTTGTTGGGTTCCTGGGCCCCATGATTGAATCCTCACTACTTTGCTTCTGACCCAGCTTCCTGCTGGTTGTTTCCTGGGAGGCAGCAGATGATGGTTCCTGTGTGTGAGTCCTTGCCACCTGTTTGGGAAACTCCAGTGGGAATCTAGGCTCCTGGCTTCAGCCTGGCTGTTATAGGCATTTGGAGGGAATGAACCAGTGGATGGAAATTCTCCCCATTCTCTGTCTTTCTCAGCTTTTCAAATAACTAAAAACAAACATTAAGAAAACTAAAGTCTTTGGATTAAAAAAGGACAATAGAGTACCCACTGCATGGAATTGTTTTGAAAATGAATGCAGAAACTCTTTGCTGGGAGCCATGTTGAAGTCATGTCCGGCGAATATTGCTGACATTATCAGAGAATTATTTTTTGTTGTTTTTTTTTAAAAAAGATTTCTTTATTTTTGTTGGAAAGTTGGGTTTACAGAGAGAAGGAGAGACAAAGATCTTCTGTCTGCTGGTTTAGTCCCCAGATGACCTCAATGGTCAGAGCTGAGCCGATCTGAAGCCAACTTTTTGTGGGGTCTCCCACACAGATATAGGGTCCCAAGGCTTAGGCCTATTGTCTATTGCTTTCCCAGCTAGATGAGAAGTGGAGCAGCCAGGACACGAACTGGTGCCCTTGGGGGATCCTGGGTGTGCAATGTGAGAATTTTAGCCATGAAGCCATAATGCTGGGTCCATCGTGCTGTGTCCAAGTAGTGAGGACTATTTTAATAGAATTTAAGAAGTGACAATGGGGCCCGGCGGCGTGGCCTAGCGGCTAAAGTCCTCACCTTGAATGCGCCGGGATGCCTCATGGGTGCTGGTTCTAATCTCGGCAGCTACACTTCCCATCCAGCTCCCTACTTGTGGCCTGGGAAAGCAGTCGAGGATGAGCTTTGGGACCCTGCACCCGTGTGGGAGACCCAGAAAGAAGTTCCTGGCTCCCGGCTTCAGATCGGCACAGCACCGGCCATTGCAGTCACTTGGGGAGTGAATCATCAGATGGAAGATCCTCCTCTCTGTCTCTCCTCCTCTCTGTATATCTGACTTTGT